GGGCGGTTTTCGTAGGGAGCCTTCAGTGTAGATCGAGAGATATCTGCAGGCTGTGATTGGAGGATATTCTGTAAGATTTTTATTACTTTCAAATGTACATCCATCCAGTTATTAAAACTGACCATGTTTTTCTATATTTAGTACTGTCTTTTTCAACATGATGACTTATGCTGAATATGACCACAGCTATTTTTCAAGTAGGTGACATTTGGTGCGAAACTGGGGGTGGTGTGTTTACAGGTAATATCTGTTGAATGCTTAGTTATTTAAAACAAAATATAACGTTACTATAGAAGTCTATGGGAAAACATTTGGTTGTGTGTAACCTAAAGGGTGTTTTGTATTGTTTCTGGCTAAAGTCCTCCTCTTGAGATGGGTCAAGTGGTCAAATAGACTATGTATACTGACCAGATACATCATAGCAAGGTGAGATTTAGATTACAGTTTCTCCTCTTGAAATGGGTCAAGTGGTCAAATAGACTGTATACTGACCAGACCCATGAAGATTCCGAGGTAGAATAGGTCTTCAGCAACCTATGCTTGCCGTAAAAGGCGACTAACGGGATCACTCGGTCAGGCTCGACGACTTGGTTGATACATGTCATCGATCCCAATTGCCTGGATCGATGCTCATGATATCAATCACTGGATTGTCTGGTCCAGACTCGATTATTTACAGACCGCCGTCATATAGCTGGAATATTGCTGAGTGCGGCGTTAAACAACAAACCAACCAACTGACCAGATACATCAGGGCATGGGTAGATTTAGATTACAGGGTGTGTAACAGGGTGTGTAACAGGGTGTTCGATGTAGCTTCAGGTTCACAGCATTGTCTGGACATGGGCCAAGTGGTCAAATAAATTGTGTATGATGACCAGATATATCACAGCATGGGTAGATTGAGATTACAGGGTGTCTTAAGGGTGGTTTGTGTTGTTTCTGGTTAAGATCCACTTCTTGAGATGGGTCAAGTGGTCAAATAGACTGTATACTGACCAGATACATCATAGCATGGGTAGATTTAGATTACAGGGTGTCTTCAGGGTGTTTTGTGTTGTTTCTGGTTAAGATCCACCTCTTGAGATGGGTCAAGTGGTCAAATAGATTATGTATACTGACCAGATACATCACAACATGGGTAGATTTAGATTACAGGGTGTCTTAAGGGTGGTTTGTGTTGTTTCTGGTTAAGATCCACTTCTTGAGATGGGTCAAGTGGTCAAATAGACTGTATACTGACCAGATACATCATAGCATGGGTAGATTTAGATAACAGGGTGTCTTCAGGGTGTTTTGTGTTGTTTCTGGTTAAGATCCACCTCTTGAGATGGGTCAAGTGGTCAAATAGACTATGTATACTGACCAGATCCATAATGACATAGTTAGATATAGATTACAGGGTGTCTTCAGGCTGCTTTGTGGTGTCTCTGGTTAAAATCCACCTCTTGAGATGGGTCAAGTGGTCAAATAGACTATGTATACTGACCAGATACATCATAGCATGGGTACGGTAGCTTTAGATTACAGGGTGTTTTAGGGGTGTTTTGTGTTGTTTCTGGTTAAAGTCCTCCTCTTGAGATGGGTCAAGTGGTCAAATAGACTGTATACTGATCAGATACATCATAGCATATTAGATTTAGATTACAGGGTGTCTTCAGGGTGTTTTGTATTGTTTCTGGTTAAAGTCCTCCTCTTGAGATGGGTCAAGTGGTCAAATAAACTGTATACTGACCAGATACATCATAGCATGGGTAGTTTTAGATTACAGGGTGTCTTCAGGGTGTTTTGTATTGTTTCTGGTTAAAGTTCTCCTCTTGAGATGGGTCAAGTGGTCAAATAGACTGTATACTGACCAGATACATCATAGCATGGGTAGATTTAGATTACAGGGTGTCTTAAGGGTGTTTTGTGTTGTTTCTGGTTAAGATCCACCTCTTGAGATGGGTCAAGTGGTCAAATAGACTATGTATACTGACCAGATACATCATAGCATTGGTAGATTTAGATTACAGGGTGTCTTCAGGGTGTTTTGTGTTGTTTCTGGTTAAGATCCACCTCTTGAGATGGGTCAAGTGGTCAAATAGACTATGTATACTGACCAGATACATCATAGCATGGGTAGATTTAGATTACAGGGTGTCTTCAGGGTGTTTTGTGTTGTTTCTGGTTAAGATCTACCTCTTGAGATGGGTCAAGTGGTCAAATAGACTGTATACTGACCAGATACATCACAGCATGGGTAGATTTAGATTACAGGGTGTCTTCAGGGTGTTTTGTGTTGTTTCTGGTTAAGATCCACCTCTTGAGATGGGTCAAGTGGTCAAATAGACTGTATACTGCCCAGATCCATAATGACATGGGTAGATTTAGATTACAGGGTGTCTTAAGGGTGTTTTGTGTTGTTTCTGGTTAAAGTCCACCTCTTGAGATGGGTCAAGTGGTCAAATAGACTGTGTATACTGACCAGATACATCATAGCATGGGTAGATTTAGATTACAGGGTGTCTTCAGGGTGTTTTGTGTTTTGTTTTTGGTTAAAGTCGTCCTCTGGTTGATATGTCTGTGAGTACGAAGAATGCTGCCTCAAAGTCTTCGCAGGTTTGCCTTGTTTGAGCTGAGGGGTTTGCTCCAATTATTCATAAAGATGGAGATGTCATGTAGCTGGAATATCTGCGACTGTGACAAACAAACAACAGTTTCTCAACTGTAGACAAGGGGGAGGTAATTTGCAACATTTGGTGGATGAGTAAGCTCCCTTTGGTCTGTTGTCCTGAGGAGGATATTTGAAGTTTTTGTCTTGACCCTGACCATTATTTTTTATTTGTTGCATCACAGATTGTCAAAGTCAGACATCTGAGTTGGGAACAGCCAGGATCAGCTGCACATTGGAAGCCCGCGCCATTCCCCAGACCTTGTGGTAGACTGTTTATCCCGGAAGAACAAGATTATCTCACTCTCTCACTCTCTCACTCTCTCACTCTCTCACTCACTCACTCACTCACTCTTCTGTGATCAGAGATACATCATGTCATGGGTAGATATAGATTACAGGTTGTCTTAAGGGTGGTTTGTACTGTTTCTGGTTAAAGTCATTCTCTGGACATGGATCAAGTGGTCAAATAGACTCTGTTCTATGATCAGACACATCGTAGCATGGGTAGATATAGATTACAGGTTGTCTTAAGGGTGGTTTGTGGTGTTTATAGTTAAAGTCATTCTCTGGACATGGATCAAGTGGTCAAATAGACTGTTTTTTAGTGATGTGAGGTGAAAGGGGGTGCAAGATTATTGCACTTATATAGCAACATGCATGGATGTTTGTTTGTGGCTACTTGTACTAGACTGAACTTATGCCACTGAGATACCATTTCACACTTTAACATGAACATGCAACTCAGACACAGCATGCTGACTCCAAGAGGACCAGTCCTTGTTTTAGCCCCTTATTGCCTAGCACCAGACAGGGTAACAACAAGTACCATTCTTTAATGTCCTTGTTTTAGCCTCTTATTGCCTAGCATCAGACAGGGTAACAACAAGTACCATTCTTTAATGTGCTTGTTTTAGCCTCTTATTGGCTAGCGCCAGGCAGGGTAACAACAAGTACCATTCTTTAATGTCCTTGTTTTAGTCCCTTATTGCCTAGCACCAGGCAGGGTAACAATAAGTACCATTCTTTAATGTCCTTGGTATGACACAGTTACATATCAAATCCCCGGCCTTTCGCCCTTCGGGCAGACGCTCTATCCACCAAACCACGGAGGCAGTTCTGTTGTTTAGTGGTCAGATACATCATAGCATGAGTAGATTTAGATTACAGGGTGTCTTAACTCTTTCAACACTGTAGGCCAGTAGACCAGCCAAGATGTCATGACTCCCCAGACACCATACGGTGGTCTACCGGCCAGCATGTATACAAGTAAACAACAACATAAAAGTGTGACTACCGGAAACAAGAGTTGATGTATTACAGGATGTTTATTTAGAAAGTTTCTTTAGATAGCTGAATTTTCTGAACGTAAACTTTGTGTTGTGATTTGACTTTGAACATACGTGTCTAATGGCTGCAAGTCATTATTCATATAGCGATGAGATGTCAGACAATGATTTTATTGAATATGTTGTTGGTTTTGATTTGCTTGAACTAAATCCTGAGGGCGAACGGGAAATTCGCAAACTGTTTCACGATGATGACGACAATGGTTTCGAAGGCTTCATGGAATATTTTCCTCCGGGATTTTCTGTATGTGTTTGGAACAAGGACTAAGATTGTGGGCGTGACCGCGAGGAATTTGTGAGTGAACCTGGATTGTCTGGTCCAGACTCGATTATTTACAGACCGCCGTCATATAGCTGGAATATTGCTGAGTGCAGCGTTAAACACCAAACAAACAAAATAAATATATGTATGTGTGTTGGTTGATGCATGTCATCGTATTCTAAATGCTTGGATCAATACTCTTGATGTCAATCACTGGATTGTCTGGTCGATGATTTACAGATCACTGTCATATATAGCTGGAATATTGCTGTTTGTAGCATCAACAAACGAACAAACAATCCAAACAGTTCTACTCAACCTGATCTCAAATACAAAATCATAGAACCAAACAAGTCATCAAACTGTTATTATTATTTTTATTAATTTTCATGTTAGGTGAAGAATAATAAAAGGGAGATAATCCACTCATTCAACACCTGCAGTCCACCTCCTACTGTCACCTGTGCCATCTGGTGTTTGAAAACATATTAGTTAGCTGTCTGTGTATGATATTGGATAGTAAAGTGATTTGTTTCAGCCTTTTGTATTTTTTCCTCTTTTTTTTCACTTGTCTCGCTAACCAAAGTTAACGAGATGATATTTTTGGGGTTTTGCTGCTGCAAAATATGAACTTTTATTATTCTAGGATCAAATATAACATTCATATAACTCAAAAGCATTCATATTTCAACTATTCAACAAGAAAAACTGTTAAAATCCTTTGTTATATTTTCAGATGAAGAACACTGCCACATCCAAGGGAGATAATCCACTTTCAACGCACCTGCCAATCAAGCAACTTCAGTAACCTATGCTGTCTAGTGATGTAAATATAATTAGATCCTATTGTCTTTGTATGCTACATGATAACATTCTAATTTGTTTTAACCTTTTGTGTTATTTCTCACATTTACTTACCTTGGCTAACCAGTTTACCTGGCCTAACGAGTGTACCTCAAGTAGGCAGCAGCAGCAGCCATTACACCTGTTCTGTTGTTCCACTGAAAAATATAACACAACAAGGTTAAATAGCAATCATGTTACCAAAATCAAACCTGTATTATTTGACAAATATTTTATTTATTGTTTCAGGTGAAGCACCTCCACACCTCCATATCAGTTCTCACCTGTGCAACGCCTGGGTCACCTACTTTCCTCCATCTTCCTGAGGCAAGGGAATAAACTGACTATAAGAGTCCTGTTTCCACCCTTACCGAACTACGCTGGAATTTCATGGCTCGATCCTAGCGCCACCAGTGGCAGTTACGTGTTATGGCCCTTCTACGTCCCTCCAACTGACCAGTCAGTTTCCATCTCCCTCTCGTATCACTTCCATTTGCTTCAAACGATATGGCGGCACATAGTCAAGATGATCTGATCTATAATCAAGATCTATATTGTAATAAAATGGGTCTTACGCCCAGTTGACAGTACACATGCTCTGGAAATCCTGCAGTCGAACGAAAGCTGCACGATGGAATCCATGTTGTTTATGAACCGGATGTCTAGTTTCTTATGCGATTTTCATTGGACTATGCAAAGACTCATTAGTCCAGCCACAATGTAACTCCAGACTTCGAGCCTAGTTATGCAAGGGTGGAAACTGGACTTTTATAGTCAGATAACTCCCTTGCCTCGGGAAGATGACTTTCTTCCTGCTGCCCGAAGGTCAGAAGACACTATTTATTCACTGTTATCACATTTTCTGTTACAATCTATTTATGGCTTCCTAATCTGTTACGTTGTCTGTTTTTCACTGATTGTTCACCTGTGATTTCCTTTAATTAAAGAATGGTAGAAATTAAAACATTTTTTCATGAATTTTCAAGTACTACACAATCTGGGCATTGCAGTGATAGGTAGCTTGTTGGTATTGCCACAAACATAAATATACCAGAACAGTTTAAAGAAACAGGAATACTTCTCTTCAACAAGTCTCTGGGAACTTGGTGTGCAGGCGTTCAATGGTTGTGGGAACTTGATGTACCAAGGGAAATAACTCTGGTTGGCTTATGTTGAAAGAGTTAAGGGTGTTTGTGCTGTGTCTGGTTAAAGGTTCTACGACACTAAATCAGAATCAGTTGGGCCTGAGCCTTTCGTGGCCTGAGTATGTCTTGGCCTGAGCCTTTTGTGGCCTGAGCCTTTTGTGGCCTGAGCCTTTCGTGGCCTGAGTACGTCTTGCGAATTGTTTTTACAATGATGGAGTTTGAATAATTCCAGCTTTTTCTTTGCATGGCAGTCGTTACTTACTGGGATTTCTTGTATGTCTTAGCTTTAGGTTCTTAATTATGGCTTTTGGTAATCTCACCATCTATGTTTCCTTTCACCCTGACTGCACACCCAAGCCCTAGTCGAAGTTTCCATATTGACTTTGCCGGACTCTTGCAGTTGACACGATGGACAGCACTGTGGGCTCTACCATGGAAGTTACGAGCAAAGGTTGTATTCCGAAGTTGTATCCCGAGGTTGTATCCCGAGGTTGTATCTCGAGGTTGTATCACAAGGTTGTATCACGAGGTTGTATCACGAGGTTGTATCACGAGGTTGTATCCCGAAGTTGTATCACAAGGTTGTATCCCGAGGTTGTATCCCGAGGTTGTATCACAAGGTTGTATCCCGAGGTTGTATCCCGAAGTTGTATCACGAGGTTGTATCCCGAGGTAATGACCGGCGCAATGCATTTTCACAAATTTTGAAAGTTACTTTCATTGTGACTAAGTTTGAAGTTTTTCTTACTTCACCACCCGTATTGGCAGTGGAAGATGGACGTCCCCTTCACACCTCACCACCCGTATTGGCAGTGGAAGATGGACGTCCCCTTCTCACTTCACCACCTGTATTGGCATTGGAAGATGGACGTCCCCTTCCCACCTCACCACCCATATTGGCAGTGGAAGATGGACGTCCCCTTCTCACCTCACCACCCGTATTGGCAGTGGAAGATGGACGTCGCCTTCCCACCTCACCACCCGTATTGGCAGTGGAAGATGGACGTCCCCTTCCCACCTCACCACCCGTATTGGCATTGGAAGATGGACGTCCCCTTCCCACCTCACCACCATTGGCAGTGGAAGATGGACGTCCCCTTCCCATCTCACCACCCGTATTGGCAGTGGAAGATGGACGTCCCCTTCCCACCTCACCACCCGTATTGGCAGTGGAAGATGGACGTCCCCTTCTCACCTCACCACCCGTATTGGCAGTGGAAGATGGACGTCCCCTTCTCACCTCACCACCCGTATTGGCAGTGGAAGATGGACGTCCCCTTCCCACCTCACCACCCGTATTGGCAGTGGAAGATGGATATCCCCTTCCCACCTCACCACCCGTATTGGCAGTGGAAGATGGACGTCCCCTTCCCACCTCACCAACCGTATTGGCAGTGGAAGATGGACGTCCCCTTCCCACCTCACCACCCGTATTGGCAGTGGAAGATGGACGTCCCCTTCCCACCTCACCACCATTGGCAGTGGAAGATGGATGTCCCCTTCTCACCTCACCACCCGTATTGGCAGTGGAAGATGGACGTCCCCTTCTCACCTCACCACCCGTATTGGCAGTGGAAGATGGACGTCCCCTTCTCACCTCACCACCCGTATTGGCAGTGGAAGATGGACGTCGCCTTCCCACCTCACCACCCGTATTGGCAGTGGAAGATGGATATCCCCTTCTCACCTCACCACCCGTATTGGCAGTGGAAGATGGACGTCCCCTTCCCACCTCACCACCATTGGCAGTGGAAGATGGACGTCCCCTTCTCACCTCACCACCCGTATTGGCAGTGGAAGATGGACGTCCCCTTCTCACCTCACCACCCGTATTGGCAGTGGAAGATGGACGTCCCCTTCCCACCTCACCACCCGTATTGGCAGTGGAAGATGGACGTCCCCTTCCCACCTCACCAACCGTATTGGCAGTGGAAGATGGACGTCCCCTTCCCACCTCACCACCCGTATTGGCAGTGGAAGATGGACGTCCCCTTCCCACCTCACCACCATTGGCAGTGGAAGATGGACGTCCCCTTCTCACCTCACCACCCGTATTGGCAGTGGAAGATGGACGTCCCCTTCTCACCTCACCACCCGTATTGGCAGTGAAAGATGGACGTCCCCTTCTCACCTCACCACCCGTATTGGCAGTGGAAGATGGACGTCGCCTTCCCACCTCACCACCCGTATTGGCAGTGGAAGATGGATATCCCCTTCTCACCTCACCACCCGTATTGGCAGTGGAAGATGGACGTCCCCTTCCCACCTCACCACCCGTATTGGCAGTGGAAGATGGACGTCCCCTTCTCACCTCACCACCCGTATTGGCAGTGGAAGATGGACGTCCCCTTCTCACCTCACCACCCGTATTGGCAGTGGAAGATGGACGTCCCCTTCCCACCTCACCACCCGTATTGGCAGTGGAAGATGGATATCCCCTTCCCACCTCACCACCCGTATTGGCAGTGGAAGATGGACGTCCCCTTCCCACCTCACCAACCGTATTGGCAGTGGAAGATGGACGTCCCCTTCCCACCTCACCACCCGTATTGGCAGTGGAAGATGGACGTCCCCTTCCCACCTCACCACCATTGGCAGTGGAAGATGGACGTCCCCTTCTCACCTCACCACCCGTATTGGCAGTGGAAGATGGACGTCCCCTTCTCACCTCACCACCCGTATTGGCAGTGGAAGATGGACGTCCCCTTCTCACCTCACCACCCGTATTGGCAGTGGAAGATGGACGTCGCCTTCCCACCTCACCACCCGTATTGGCAGTGGAAGATGGATATCCCCTTCTCACCTCACCACCCGTATTGGCAGTGGAAGATGGACGTCCCCTTCTCACCTCACCACCCGTATTGGCAGTGGAAGATGGACGTCCCCTTCTCACCTCACCACCCGTATTGGCAGTGGAAGATGGACGTCCCCTTCCCACCTCACCACCCGTATTGGCAGTGGAAGATGGACGTCCCCTTCCCACCTCACCAACCGTATTGGCAGTGGAAGATGGACGTCCCCTTCCCACCTCACCACCCGTATTGGCAGTGGAAGATGGACGTCCCCTTCCCACCTCACCACCATTGGCAGTGGAAGATGGACGTCCCCTTCTCACCTCACCACCCGTATTGGCAGTGGAAGATGGACGTCCCCTTCTCACCTCACCACCCGTATTGGCAGTGGAAGATGGACGTCCCCTTCTCACCTCACCACCCGTATTGGCAGTGGAAGATGGACGTCGCCTTCCCACCTCACCACCCGTATTGGCAGTGGAAGATGGATATCCCCTTCTCACCTCACCACCCGTATTGGCAGTGGAAGATGGACGTCCCCTTCCCACCTCACCACCATTGGCATTGGAAGATGGACGTCCCCTTCTCACCTCACCACCCGTATTGGCAGTGGAAGATGGACGTCCCCTTCTCACCTCACCACCCGTATTGGCAGTGGAAGATGGACGTCCCCTTCCCACCTCACCACCCGTATTGGCAGTGGAAGATGGACGTCCCCTTCTCACCTCACCACCCGTATTGGCAGTGGAAGATGGACGTCCTCTTCCCACCTCACCACCCGTATTGGCAGTGGAAGATGGATATCCCCTTCTCACCTCACCAACCGTATTGGCAGTGGAAGATGGACGTCCCCTTCCCACCTCACCACCATTGGCAGTGGAAGATGGATATCCCCTTCTCACCTCACCAACCGTATTGGCAGTGGAAGATGGACGTCCCCTTCTCACCTCACCAACCGTATTGGCAGTGGAAGATGGACGTCCCCTTCTCACCTCACCACCCGTATTGGCAGTGGAAGATGGACGTCCCCTTCCCACCTCACCACCCGTATTGGCAGTGGAAGATGGACGTCGCCTTCCCACCTCACCACCCGTATTGGCAGTGGAAGATGGATATCCCCTTCTCACCTCACCAACCGTATTGGCAGTGGAAGATGGACGTCCCCTTCCCACCTCACCACCATTGGCAGTGGAAGATGGATATCCCCTTCTCACCTCACCAACCGTATTGGCAGTGGAAGTTTGACGTCCCCTTCTCACCTCACCACCCGTATTGGCAGTGGAAGATGGACGTCCCCTTCTCACCTCACCACCCGTATTGGCAGTGGAAGATGGACGTCCCCTTCCCACCTCACCACCCGTATTGGCAGTGGAAGATGGACGTCCCCTTCTCACCTCACCACCCGTATTGGCAGTGGAAGATGGACGTCCCCTTCTCACCTCACCACCCGTATTGGCAGTGGAAGATGGACGTCCCCTTCTCACCTCACCACCCGTATTGGCAGTGGAAGATTGACGTCCCCTTCTCACTTCACCACCCGTATTGGCAGTGGAAGATGGACGTCCCCTTCCCACCTCACCACCCGTATTGGCAGTGGAAGATGGACTACTACCTCCTTGTACAGTTTAGGTACTTCGACAGGTGCCGTCAGTACATTAAACTCTCTCTGTTCAGTTAAAGCCCCACGGCTGTTCTTATCTCTATCCATGACAGCGTCACCCCCACACATTAGCAAAGTCTTGGCATGCTCACGGAAAGCCCATCTCCCCGACATGCAGCACTGATAAACACCAAAAGCAGCCCTGCAGATTAAAAAAGACCATTGACTACTTTGGAAACTTCTAAATGAATCTTTTTAAGCATGTGATAGTCTTCGACATTTCTGAATTATCTCCCCTAGCAGATAAAATGCTGTTTCTATTTCTATCCCCCTAAAGCCCTTAATAAAGGTGTAAAACATTGTTTTCTTATGGTATTGAAAAAAACACTTCTATGTATGTGAATTTAATCCCTTACTGTACCTAACAACTGAAAACTGTCAATAAAATTGAAAGTTTATGAAGTGGCCTCATTAAAAGACAAATGCTTGAATTTGGAAAGGTTAGCCACCAAAATCATTTAACATTGAGCACTTTTATTCCCTGCAAGTATTTCAGAGTCTGGCCAAAGGAATAAATAGATTCAAGTGTTATTACCTTTTACCTTTTGGTTTCAGGGAACTCTCATCCTCCTTGGGGGTGTTTTCCTTCCTTGGCCTTAACAGACGGTACAGCTCACTTGTAAGTGTTTGAACTCGCTGGACACCAGCCACCCCTACACTGCACACTTTCTTGTGGAGCTCAGTTGTCGACCTGACAGTTTTTGGCACTTTAAAGTTGCTTTGCTTTTCTTTGGGGACTTTTTTGCCTGTATTCCAAGCATTTATGTGGTGCTTTAAAAGATGTTTTCAAATTCTTTCGCTGTCTCCCCATGTTTCCGGTGTAGGTCCAAGATGCTGACACAATGATTATTGGTTCACGCTCGTCACACCGAAGACCCGGGTTCGAATCCCGACATGGGTACAATGTGTGAAGCCCATTTCTGGTGTCCCCCGCCGTGATATTGCTGGAATATTGCTAAAAGCGGCGTAAAACCAAACTCACTCACTCACTCACTCAACATTGGTTCTTGCGCGCCAATAGATAAAATACAAAAAATTGACCTGTCATTTATATATTGGACTCTGTAAATAATGTAGGGGTACCAGTCCCGGGTTAGTCCCACCCACGTAGCCGGTCGGGTAATCCGAGGTAATCTGGATTAAGGGATTAAGGGTAGTATGCCGACTATCGTCTATTCTGGTGAAAGGGACCCTGGTGAATTCATGTCAGCCAGTTATCAATTACTCCGACTGATAAGCTGAGTGAACACATTTTATATTGATTATAGATTAATTCATTTTTAGTGAGCGGATTTCTTCAATTTGAGTATAAGTATGTGATGTCATAGACTACTGCATAGCATAGCAATATGGCAAACACACAAGTGCCTCGCTATATTCCAAACAATCATGAAGGACAGTATTTGGTGTAGTTGGCCTACAAATTTAGTTTTATGTCCAGAAACGGAGACAGAATCCACTGGCGTTGTTGTATGAGATCATGCCATTCCACAACCAACACCCTGAACAACCTTGGCCATCAACAACTGCCACAATCATCTCAACTGCCAGTACCAATGCTAACCTCTTCAAGATTCTGGGCGGTTGGGTAGCCTAGTGGTTAAAGCATTCGCTCGTCACGCCGAAGACCCGGGGTCTGGTGTCCCCGCCGTGATATTGCTGGAATATTGCTAAAAGCGGCGTAAAACCTCAGTTACTCACTCACTCTTCAAGATTCTAGACTCTATAAAGACAGAACAGTCTTTCCTTGAAGTTACCGTTCTTCAGCTCGAAGCAGGTGGTACAAGCCATGTGCAGACAAAGAAATCCCGACAACTTGGACATGACCTTGACCCTTACAAAAAACAGTTTGTTGCTGGGGAGAACAGCGCTGTAGAGAACTCGATGCCATCCACATTGAACTGGGTACTGATCTTAATGAATTGAAGAATGAAGAAATGAATTAAAAGAATTTTTATTGATGTATATATGTATATAAATGTATATCATGTCAATTTCGGGGTTACTTCATGCAGACTATAGTCGAAATATCAAAGAAGCACAAGCTAATCTAAACATGCAGATTATCTGTCGGCATATCAAAAACACTGGCTAATGGGACGACCCCACCAGTCCACCAGTTCCAGAAAGCTCACTGAGTCCAGCATATAATGCGACGTCTCGTCTGTCTGTCCGTCCCCCACATACAATGCGACATCTCATCTGTCCGTCCGTATGTCCCCCGCATATAATGCGACATCTCGTCTCTCCGTCCGTCTGTCTGTCCCCCGCATACAATGCGACATCTCGTCTCTCCGTCCGTCTGTCCCCCGCATATAATGCGACATCTAGTCTCTCCGTCCGTCTGTCCCCGCATATAATGCGACATCTCATCTCTCCGTCCGTCTGTCCCCCGCATATAATGCGACATCTCATCTCTCCGTCCGTCTGTCACCCGCATATAATGTGACATCTCGTCTCTCCGTCCGTCTGTCTGTCCCCAGCATATAATGCAACATCTCGTCTCTCCGTCTGTCCGTATGTCCCCCGCATATAATGTGACATCTCATCTCTCCGTCCGTCTGTCCCCCGCATATAATGCGACATCTAGTCTCTCCGTCCGTCTGTCCCCGCATATAATGCGACATCTAGTCTCTCCGTCTGTCCGTCCGTCCCCTGCATATAATGCGACATCTCGTCTGTCCATCCGTCCCCCGCATATAATGCGACATCTCATCTCTCCGTCCGTCTGTCCCCCGCATATAATGCGACATCTCGTCTCTCCGTCCGTCTGTCCCCCGCATATAATGCGACATCTCATCTCTCCGTCTGTCCGTCCGTCCCCTGCATATAATGCGACATCTCGTCTGTCCATCCGTCCCCCGCATATAATGCAACATCTCGTCTCCCCCCAGTCCGTCCGTCTGTCCCCCGCATAAAATGCGACATCTCGTCTCTCCGTCCATCCGTAATTAAAACTCACCATGTTTTTCAATATTTGGTGCTGACTTTTTTAACAAGATGACTTGTGCTTTATGTGAGCACAGATATTTTCAAGTAGGTGACATTTGGTGCGGAACGGGGGTTGGTGTGTTCAGCTTCCTGTACTAGGAAAACGAGCCAGCTGACCTAGGCAAAATTGGTGTTTTTATTGCAGCTTTAAGGCCAGCCTGTGCATACATGAACATGTAATAGCTTTTGAATGCCTAGTTATTTTTAAAAGAAATATAACGTTACTATAGAAGCCTATGCGAAAACATTTGGTTGTTTGTTACCGAAAGTCGTTCCTTTGAGATGGGTCTTGTGGTCAAACAGACCAGATACACCACAGCATGGGTAGGTTTTATCTACAGGGTGTCTTAAGGGTGATTTGTGCTGGTTCTGCTAAAAGTTATTTTCTGGAAATGGGGGTGGTCGGGTAGCCTAGTGGTTAAAGCGTTCGCTCTTCATGCCGAAGACCCGGGTTCGATTCCCGACATGGGTACAATGTGTGAAGCCCATTTCTGGTGTCCCCTGCTGTGATATTGCTGGAATATTGCTAAAAGCGGCGTAAAACCATACTCAACCACTCAATCACTCACTCACTCTCTGGAAATGGTCAATGTTGGTGGCACGTGGTCCTGTGCACAGCGCACAAATCACTAATCAGGTGAAGTTAAGCAAGATGGATGGGTGACCACGTTAAGCAGCTTGACTCCTGAGAGTTTCTAGGGCTTCGGTCCTGCCCCACACTGAAGCACATGTAGCACATGTGGCGTCTCCTTGTCAAGTGACTTTGTTAGAAATGTGCCACTGTTCACCCAGCAGTGAGTGGGTACCCGGTAGGATGAGACTGTAATGTGCCTCTGTTCACCCAGCAGTGAGTGGGTACCCGGTAGGATGGTAATGTGGCTGTTAACCTTCTAGCGCCTCACAGGCAGCTTGGGTTGTATACTCCTCAGGGAGCTGAGAATGAAAATCAGTGAACACTGATCCATTGACTGGGGTAATAATGTAAGCGCCATGAGCACACGAGCTGGGGGATCCACCCTTGCCCCCATACATCATGACATGTGATGGTGTCGTGTGTACATTGAGATTTCAGGGTGTCTAAAGCGTGGTTTGTGTTGTTTCTGGTGTAAGTCATTCTCTGGAGATGGTGTCTAGTGGTCAAAAGACCAGATACATCACAACATGGGTAGATTTAGATTTCAGGGTGTCTGAAGGGTGGTTTGTATTGTTTCTGGTGTAAGTCCTTCTCTGGAGATGGTGTCTAGTGGTCAAAAGACCAGATACATCACAACATGGGTAGATTTAGATTTCAGGGTGTCTGAAGGGTGGTTTGTATTGTTTCTGGTGTAAGTCATTCTCTGGAGATGGTGTCTAGTGGTCAAAAGACCAGATACATCACAACATGGGTAGATTTAGATTACAGGATGTCTTAAGCATGTGTTTTTGGTTTCGGGTTAATGGCAATGTCTGGAAATGGTCAAGTGGTGAAATAGACTGGTATTGTGACCAGATCCATCATCAAAGCATGGGTAGATTTAGATTACAGGGTGTGTGAAGGGTGGTTTATGTGTTTTCTGGTTAAAGTCATTCTCTTGAGATGAATCAGATGGTCAGAAGAGACTGTATTCTGACCAGATACATTATTGCATGTGTAGATATAGATTTCAGGGTGTCTTAAGGAGTGTTTACATAGCTTCAGGTTAAACACATTCTTCTCGAAAGTGAAAAATAGACTTTACTCTGACTCGATACATCATGACATTGGTAGATCTAGGCTACAGAGTGTCTTCGATTACAGGGCATTGTGAGAGTGGTTTGCATGCGCACGCACACATACGCACGCATGCACGCACACATGCACACACACACACACACACACACACACATTCAGAGCAAATTACATTTATAGTGAACAGGTTTATAACGAATTGACGGATATACCGACCTGTCCCAGTCATTGACTGATTGTTATAATCCTGGAAATATGTGCAATATAAATAGCCTAGTAGTAGTAGTAGTAGTAGTAGTAATAGTATTGTACGTTTTAGTGTAATCGTATGGACTTTTATTAGATCAAACACTTGACCCTTGTAGTACTATCTTGGCCGAAGTATCATGTGTTGTATATTTTAGTGTTATCGTAAGGATTTTTATTAGCTGAGCCTACTAGACTGAACAGCACATCACTTGATGCGGGCTTGGGGTCAGTGGCTAAACTTGCAGACTGTGCATTTAGCTTTCATCTTGCTCTTAATCTACCTGCATGGTAACCAATAGTTTCAGTGTACTCTCTTTGTTGCAAAGTTTGAGATTAAAGATTTTGTACATGTGTCAACTGTTTGTGTAATTCTGTTGGAATCAAACGTCTGAAGACAGGACAAAAAGTCCTTGGTTTGATTCCTCACATATTAGGTCCGGCATATAATGGGGGGGGGGGGGGGGAGAAGTTGTGTGTGTAATATAGTCGACGCCTTGTCTGTCCGTCCTTCTGTAATCATTTCATTTCTGGAGCACAACTAAAAAAATCTGATATATTTTACAACAAAACTTGGCAGAAATATCAAACAGATCCAGAAGTGGTGCCTTTTAATGTTTACGGATTTTGGCCATTTTTTAGTTTTTCTCGGTTTCCATGGAAACAGTATGGACTTAGTCTCTAAAGGTGGGATGAATTTTGTTTCCGGGGCACAGCTCAAAAACTGTCCGATATTTTCAGCGAAACTTGCCAGATGTGTCAAACAGATCCTGAAGTGGTGCCTTTTCCTATTTGCGGATATTTGGCATTTTTAATTTTCTCGATTTCCCTGGAAACAAGTTAGACTTAGTCTCAAAAAGGGTGGGGGTCGGTGTCGTTTCCAGAGCACAACTTGAAAACTGTGAAAGACTTTTCATCCAAACCTGGTACATGTATTAACCATTGGCTGAAGTGGTGCCTTTTGCTATTTAGAAGTTTATCAAAATTTGATATTTCACTGTTTCCTGTGGAAACAAATAAAACTTAGCTGAAAAGGAGGTTGGTGTCATTTCCGGGGCAGAACTGAAAAGCTTTTCAAAATTTTTAATCCAAAATTTGTACGTATATGAATATAGGGCTAAAGTGGTGCCTTTTGCTGTTTTATATGAAATTAAAGATATTAATGTTTCCTGTTTCCATGGCAACAAGTTTAACTTTGACTCTGTTCATAGTAGTGTGGTTGACCGGACCATATCTCTAAAACGAATAGGTATTCTTTCTTGAAACTGCACACACAGAGACCAGGTTGCCAAACGGTGCCATTTGCTACTTATGGGTGTTTAGAATTTATATCTTTTCCGTTTCCATGGCAACAACTTTGAAATTCAAAGTTCCGAATCACAATTCCATGGTATTGTTTTGATAGCTCGATAACTAATCTTGTATATGGACAGTCTGATTAGATAGAAGTTCTCTCATCAAGTTGGACTTAAAGATGATTAGTTCATTGCTGGGACATTGCTGGGACATTGAGACATTCCTGGAACATGGCTTGAACATTGCTGGGACATTGAGACATTCCTGGAACATTCCTGGAACATTGAGACATTCCTGGAACATTGCTGGGACATTGAGACATTCCTGGAACATTGCTGGGACATTGCTGGGACATTGAGACATTCCTGGAACATGGCTTGAACATTGCTGGGACATTGAGACATTCCTGGAACATTGCTGGGACATTGAGACATTCCAGGAACATTGCTGGGACATTGAGACATTCCTGGAACATTGCTGGGACATTGAGACATTGCTGGAACATGGCTTGAACATTGCTGGGACATTGAGACATTCCTGGAACATTGCTGGGACATTGAGACATTCCTGGAACATTGCTGGGACATTGAGACATTCCTGGAACATTGCTGGGACATTGAGACATTCCTGGAACATTCCTGGAACATTGAGACATTGCTGGAACATTCCTGGAACATTGCTGGGACATTGCTGGGACATTGAGACATTCCTTGAACATTTCTTGAACATTCCTGGAACATTGCTGGGACATTGAGACATTCCTGGAACATTGCTGGGACATTGAGACATTCCTGGAACATTGCTGGGACATTGAGACATTCCTGGAACATTGCTGGGACATTGAGACATTCCTGGAACATTCCTGGAACATTGAGACATTGCTGGAACATGGCTTGAACATTGCTGGGACATTGAGACATTCCTGGAACATTGCTGGGACATTGAGACATTCCTGGAACATTGCTGGGACATTGAGACATTCCTGGAACATTCCTGGAACATTGAGACATTGCTGGAACATTCCTGGAACATTGCTGGGACATTGCTGGGACATTGAGACATTCCTTGAACATTTCTTGAACATTCCTGGAACATTGCTGGGACATTGAGACATTCCTGGAACATTGCTGGGACATTGAGACATTGCTGGGACATTGAGACATTCCTGGAACATTGCTGGGACATTCCTGGAACATTGCTGGGACATTGCATGGACAAGTGACTTAAAGTCATACTCACTCACGGAGATCTAGTTTTTCACGAGCTGTGAACATTTGGTTCTTAGCTGAACTTGGAGGGCATCATCTGAAGTGCTTTTACATGGCACTGAAATCTACCAATACCATGGTGGAATTAATGGATTGATAACAATCAGTTTGTCTATTTAAGATTCAAATTCTGCCCAGTTTGTGTTCAGCACACAAGTTATATAGGACTGTCTTGTTATACCCCTGTTTAGAAGTAAATCGGGGGTATATAGCAATCCGTCTGTTCCTCCTTCCGTCCGTCCGTCCTTCCGTCCGAGCTTTTGTACGGCCCATAACATTTTAACCATGCACCCTAGCTTCACCAATTGCTACACACATTTACCACAATGAGTACTTGTGCCTTTTGCTAGTTTGAAGATTCTGAATTTTTTAATTTTTGCTGTTTCCATGGAAACATTAGAAACTTAAACTTTTAGGGTGGGTGTTTTGTATGGCCCATATCTTTTTAACCATGCACCCTAGCTTCACCAAACGTGCTACACCCATGTACCACAATGAGTACTTGTGCCTTTTGCTAGTTTGAAGATTCTGAATTTTTTAATTTTTGCCGTTTCCATGGACACATTAAGAAACATCAAAAATGTATTATGTGCTGAGCATTGATTATCCCACACTAGATTGAAATATATTTGCAAAAACATGTGTTCATTTCAAACATAATGCATCCTCATGGGGTTTACAAAGGAAAGGGCAGTTCCTCTGACTTAAAGCAACAGGTACATTTCATTAATTAACAAACTATTTACTATTTGTTGTTGACCAACGGGGATAACAGGGGTATGTGAGCTTTACTCACTTCTTTCTTGTTATCTTTCTGTTCCCCTGAAGATTTTCACACTAATTTTGAAAGAGAGGAAACCCTGAGGCCTCCTTTTCTTGTTGACCTCGGGGCGGTCGGGTAGCCTAGTGGTTAAAGCGTTCGCTCGTCACTCACTCTTGTTGACCTCAATACACAAAACACAAATGACTCCATCATTAATTAACCTCGAGGTAGTTTTTCACCAAGTGGATATTTCTTCTTACCGGGAAGCCATTCGTTGTCAACCAGGAGTTTTTATGTTGGAGTGCATTTTCTGAAATTTAATGTTCATGATGTCTATGGTGTAGTGTGGTGCTGGGTGGATTTTGAGTGAATGTCAAGGTCAACAGAGGTCGTCATTCCCCAATGGGTGGGATTGTTTCTCATGCTATCTGTCATTGGTTTGCCTTATCCTGACTAGATTATTTACAGGCGGTCAACAAAATAGCTAGGATATTGAGCACTCACTCACACACCCAATGACCCCTTCACTGACCCTAAACCACCCATCCATCCATCCATCCATCCATCCACTCAACCATTCACTCACCTACTCACCCACCCAGTCACCCCTTAACTCGCCTACACCCCCATCCACTCACCCGTTCACTCACCCATCCACCCACCACTTAACTCACCCACCCCCAACCCACCTATCCACCCTACCACGCCTCACTTACCCATCCACCAACTCATTCACCCCTTCACCCACCCACCCATTCACTTCTTCACTCTCCAATATCATCTGGGTGGATGAGTGATTTTTTACCTGGGTAGATGGGTGATTGTTTACCTGGGTTGATGGGTGATTGTTTACCTGGGTAGATGGGTGATTGTTTACCTGGGTAGATGGGTGATTGATTGCCTGGGTAGATATGTGATTGTTTACCTGGGTAGATGGGTGATTGTTTACCTGGGTAGATGGGTGATTGATTGCCTGGGTAGATATGTGATTTTTTACCTGGATAGATTGGTGATTGTTTACCTGGATAGATGTGTAATTGTTTACCTGGATAGATGGGGTGATTGTTTACCTGGATAGATGGGGTGATTGTTTACCTTGATGGATGGGTGATTGTTTACCTGGATAGATGGAGTGATTGCTTACCTTGATGGATGGGTGATTGTTTACCTGGATAGATGGGGTGATTGCTTACCTGGGTGGATGGGTGATTGTTTACCTGGATAGATGTGTAATTGTTTACCTGGATAGATGGGGTGATTGTTTACCTGGATAAATGGGGTGATTGTTTACCTGGATAGATGGGGTGATTGCTTACCTTGATGGATGGGTGATTGTTTACCTGGATAGATGGGTGATTGTTTACCTGGATAGATGGGGTGATTGTTTACACAAACTCAGGCCTCAAAGTTGCCACTAAAACAGTCGCCAATTCGACCTAAATTTCAAATTTGTCTACTGTCTACAATTCAGAGGTAGCCAAATGACTACCATGAAAAATATCTTGTGACGACTAAATTCTATTGCTTCACATTTGAAGGCACAAAGATATATAATAGGTGATTGTGGAAAACATGTCTGCTAATAATTGTACTTCCGTATAATTCCTCCTTAAGTCGACAATAAACAGAAATACATAAATATTAATGTAATTAGTATTTTATTTCAGTTGACAAGGTTCATTTGATAAGCAAGGATATACCTAAATAATCTAGTAATGTAAATTGCATAATTGTTTGAGTCACAAATAACAAAAATCAAGTTGTCTCCACTATTATACAATTTCAAGACTAGTGCTATGACTTGTACATATTATAATACTCATTTGATAAAAGATAAATTCAAATGCTTTTGGCTACCTACAATATTGGCTTGACTTCTTGACTTTACCAATGGCTACCTGGAAAAAAATGCTTGTAGCCTAAAGGCTACTTGGTAGAAATTTAAACTTTGAGGCCTGGTACTGATTGTCCAGAACAGTTTTACATGCCCTTTGGAGTGTTCAAATTAAGCATGAAAGTCAAGGGGTCTTTGTCATAACCCTAATGGTTAGATAACATTTTTCCATACTGATATTTGTGCATTTTAGAAGAATGAGTATGCACAGTAAGTGTTGATATGTGTTAATATGTATACATATTCTAAAAACTAGTGAAAACTGTACTGGAGGCCGCCTGGCCCAATAAACTTCCGTTATTCTGTTATACTGTTATTCTGTTATTCAGTATTGAAGAAGAGAAACATGTTTGCTCAGGTCTAAGATTCAAATTCTCATTTCAGGTCTTGCCTGATGACTAGTTCATGTCTACCTGATGACACAGCTCCATGCCTGTGAACTCCCAATACCATGCTGTGGCCATGCCATGCTGTGCTGTGCCCCGCCGTGCCATGCCCTGCTGTGCCCTGCTGGGTAGGCTCCCCTTTTAGAGTCTTGGGGTTAGGGAACAAGGGATAGGGTACAATGCCCCTTTTAGAGTCTTGGGGTTAGGGAACCAGGGATAGGGTACAATGCCCCTTTAAGAGTCTTGGGGTTAGGGAACCAGGGATAGGGTACAATGCTCCTTTTAGAGTCTTGGTGTTAGGGAACCAGGGATAGAGTACAATGCCACTTTTAGAGTCTTGGTGTTAGGGAACCAGGGATAGGGTACAATGCCCCTTTTAGAGTCTTGGGGTTAGGGAACCAGGGATAGGGCACAATGCCCCTTTTAGAGTTTTGGGTTTAGGGAACCAGGGATAGGGCACAATGCCCCTTTTAGAGTCTTGGGGTTAGGGAACCAGGGATAGGGCACAATGCCCCTTTTAGAGTTTTGGGTTTAGGGAACCAGGGATAGGGCACAATGCCCCTTTTAGAGTCTTGGTGTTAGGGAACCAGGGATAGGGTACAATGCCCCTTTTAGAGTCTTGGGGTTAGGGAACCAGGGATAGGGTACAATGCCCCTTTAAGAGTCTTGGTGTTAGGGAACCAGGGATAGGGTACAATGCCCCTTTAAGAGTCTTGGGGTTAGGGAACCAGGGATAGGGTACAATGCCCCTTTTAGAGTCTTGGTGTTAGGGAACCAGGGATAGGGTACAATGCCCCTTTTAGAGTCTTGGTGTTAGGGAACCAGGGATAGGGTACAATGCCCCTTTTAGAGTCTTGGGGTTAGGGAACCAGGGATAGGGTACAATGCCCCTTTTAGAGTCTTGGTGTTAGGGAACCAGGGATAGAGTACAATGCCACTTTTAGAGTCTTGGTGTTAGGGAACCAGGGATAGGGTACAATGCCCCTTTTATAGTCTTGGGGTTAGGGAACCAGGGATAGGGCACAATGCCCCTTTTAGAGTTTTGGGGTTAGGGAACCAGGGATAGGGTACAATGCCCCTTTTAGAGTCTTGGGGTTAGGGAACCAGGGATAGGGTACAATGCCCCTTTTAGAGTCTTGGGGTGAGGGAACCAGGGCAGGGTACAATGCCCCTTCTAGAGTCTTGGTGTTAGGGAACCAGGGCAGGGTACAATGCCCCTTTTAGAGTCTTGGTGTTAGGGAACCAGGGATAGGGTACAATGCCCCTTTAAGAGTCTTGGGGTTAGGGAACCAGGGATAGGGTACAATGCCCCTTTAAGAGTCTTCTTATCAACCATGACAACCTGCACCAATCTGTCCACATCTGTCAACAACCCTGATTATCTGTAAAGATAAAGGTAAATAAAGAATTGAATGTTAAATGTTGTGTATCTTTGTTATGAAAGCCTGCACAAAGGCTACGATGTTGTTGTGAGAATCTTTTAATCCCTTGTATCATTGTATGTTGGGGGAGGGGGTCCATTAGTGACTGTTTTGAATCTGACAGTCAGGCAGTCAAAGATATATTTGTGTTTATAAGATGCATTACGTCAGACAAAGTTAGTTTACAACTTTACACGATTTCTCTGAATCACAGATATAGACATTGACATATAGACATACACATATAGACATACACATATAGACATACACATAGACATAAAGACAGACATACACATATCGACATACACATATAGACATACACATAGACATACACATATAGACATACACATATAGACATACACAAATAGACATACACATATAGACATACACATATAGAAATATAGACATAAAGACAGACATACACATATAGACATACACATATAGACATACACATATAGACATACACATATAGACATACACATAGACATACACATATAGACATACACATATAGAAATATAGACATAAAGATAGACATACACATATCGACATACACATATAGACATACACATATAGACATACACATATAGACATACATATAGACATACATATAGACATACACATATAGACATACACATATCGACATACACATATAGACATACACATAGACATACACATATAGACATACACATATAGACATACATATAGACATACACATATAGACATACACATATCGACATACACATATAGACATACACATAGACATACACATATAGACATACACATATAGACATACACATATAGAAATATAGACATAAAGACAGACATACACATATCGACATACACATATAGACATACACATAGACATACACATATCGACATACACATATAGACATACACATAGACATACACATATAGACATACACATATAGACACACATATCGACATACACATATAGACATACACATAGACATACACATATAGACATACACATAGACATACACATATAGAAATATAGACATAAAGACAGACATACACATATCGACATACACATATAGACATACACATAGACATACACATATAGACATACACATAGACATACACATATAGACATACACATATAGACATACACATATCGACATACACATATAGACATACACATAGACATACACATATAGACATACACATATAGACATACACATATAGAAATATAGACATAAAGACAGACATACACATATCGACATACACATATAGACATACACATAGACATACACATATAGACATACACATATAGACATACACATAGACATACACATATAGACATACACATATAGACATACACATATCGACATACACATATAGACATACACATATAGACATACACATATCGACATACACATATAGACATACACATATAGACATACACATATAGACATACACATAGACATACACATAGACATACACATAGACATACACATATAGACATACACATAGACATACACATATAGACATACACATAGACATACACATATAGACATACACATATAGACATACACATATCGACATACACATATAGACATACACATATAGACATACACATATAGACATACACATAGACATACACATATCGACATACACATATAGACATACACATAGACATACACATATAGACATACACATAGACATACACATATAGACATACACATATCGACATACACATATCGACATACACATATCGACATACACATATAGACATACACATATAGACATACACATATAGACATACACATATAGACATACACATAGACATACACATATAGACATACACATATAGACATACACATATAGACATACACATATCGACATACACATATAGACATACACATATAGACATACACACATAGACATACACATATAGACATACACATATAGACATACACATATAGACATACACATAGACATACACATATACATACACATATAGACATACACATATAGACATAGACATACACATATAGACATACACATATAGACATACACATATAGACATACACATATAGACATACACATAGACATACACATATAGACATACACATATCGACATACACATATAGACATACACATATAGACATACACATAGACATACACATATCGACATACACATATAGACATACACATATGGACATACACATATAGACATACACATAGACATACACATATCGACATACACATATAGACATACACATATAGACATACACATATCGACATACACATATAGACATACACACATAGACATACACATAGACATACACATATAGACATACACATATCGACATACACATATAGACATACACATATAGACATACACACATAGACATACACATATAGACATACACATATAGACATACACACATAGACATACACATATAGACATACACATAGACATAGACATACACATATAGACATACACATATAGACATACACATAGACATACACATAGACATACACATATAGACATACACATATAGACATACACATATAGACATACACATAGACATACACACAGACATACACATATAGACATACACATATAGACATACACATATAGACATACACAGACATACACATAGACATACACATATAGACATACACACAGACATACACATATAGACATACACATATAGACATACACATAGACATACACATATAGACATACACATAGACATACACATATAGACATACACATATAGACATACACATATAGACATACACATATAGACATACACACATAGACATACACATAGACATACACATATAGACATACACATAGACATACACATAGACATACACATATAGACATACACATATAGACATACACATAGACATACACATATAGACATACACATAGACATACACATAGACATACACATAGACATACACATATAGACATACACATAGACATACACATATAGACATACACATAGACATACACATAGACATACACATATAGACATACACATAGACATACACATAGACATACACATATAGACATAGACATACACATAGACATACACATAGACATACACATATAGACATACACATATAGACATACACATAGACATACACATATAGACATACACATAGACATATACATATAGACATACACATAGACATACACATATAGACATAGACATACACATATAGACATACACATATAGACATACACACATAGACATACACATAGACATACACATATAGACATACACATAGACATACACATATAGACATACACATAGACATAAAGACAGACATCAACATATATACATAGACATATAGACATAAACATAGACATTGACATAGGGACACAGACATATAGTCATATGAACATAAACACATATATACATAGACATAGACATAAACACATAGACACAGACATATAGACATTGACATAGAGATACAGACATAGAGACATATAGAATACTAAACAAGCTCCCGTGTAATACCAATTTTATGAAACGAGTGAATAGTTGTGGTATCTGACGAGCGAAAGCGAGTCAGATACCTCAACTATTCACAAGTTTCATAAAATTGGTTTTACACGGGAGCCAGTTTCGTATTTTATAAATTACTTGCCATTTATAACGTTTTTAGAATTATACTGTTGAGTATGAATAGGCTGACACCTACACGATCCACGGCATAGTCCAATTGAGTTTAACAGAATAATACTTCAAATACTTCAAATATCATTATCAACTAGTTTCATATGTAATAATTCCTTTTTGGTGTAAATTATTCTATGGATAAACTTAAACTGAAAGTCAATCAATTTAGTATCTTTAGTACATTTTCTGAAGTTTGAATAAACTTCTTTCCATGGAATATCATCGTCAAAAAGAGACTGCCATTTTCCATTTACTAAGGGTGGTTTTGTTATTGTAATTAGTCTATCATAAAGGTACCTAGATCCTTGAATGGGTATAAATATATCCCTCAATTGTGGACTAAGGTTTAAGTCATGTATTGGTATTTGGATATAATGATTGACAGTGTCTCTCCATTCTTTAGGTATACTAAGTTTAACCTTATTATAATCTAGTATTGTACCCTGTATATCATAACATACTTTTAATATTTCAAATTGCAGAAATCCTTTCTCATTACATACCGGAAAGCGCACGTTAAATCTCCAAAGTAACTAACTAACTTCTGATGTCCGTGTGCGAAATACGCTACAGTCGGAAAGCGCACGTTAATCTTCTATATCAGTCAGACTTGTGATATGTTTCATTCCCGGTCGCCTTATACACGGAGTATAGGATTTTGGGTTGATTTTTAAGGCGTGTACAGGGGGGTCGTCTTATACGTGGGGTCGCCTTATACACAGCGATATACGGTAAGTCCTTAATTGTCATTATACCCTTTTTAAACCAATTTTTAATTATGTAGTTTTCAAGTTTAAATTGGTGATTTAGCCATAGGGGCTGTGATAGAATTTCGGAAATCTTTTCTGAATCTGTTGTAAATTTTCTGCCATATGAGACTTGCCCAAACATTTAAAACATCTCTCCAAAAAGGGTTCTTCACACATAAATATTTATCAGCATTAACTCCTAAATTAATCATATCAGTGAAAGAAAAAACTGAAGGATTATCATATGTACTCTTTTTTAGATACCTGCTTAATGTAGATAATTTTAGTGATTCTATAAATATTTTAATGTCCACCATTATAAGCCCACCATCAGCGTAATTGTTTTTCAGATTTTTTTGTTTTTAAATTTTATCTGGTTTATCATTCAATAAAAATCTAAACACAATTTTATTTAAGTTTATAATAAAATCTTTTGGGGGTTTGGCAGTGCCATAAAAATATGGACAAGAGTTGAGAGAGCCAATGACTTGATAACAGTAATTTTACCTATAAGAGTCAAGTTTCTTCTTCTCCAATTGCCAACAAATCCAACATATTAACCAACTTATTTATTGAAATGAATAATATTTGTGGGCTTAAAGTGCAACCCTGATGGTGTCAATATTACATCTAAAGTAATCTGTTATTCCATTGCCTGTTCCAACACAAGATGATAGGTTAGTGTACATTTTGACAATATTTAGAAATGTCCCATGATGCCCATATAACTCTGGAAAAGAACTGTAAGATTGACAAGATCAAATGCTTTTGTAAAGTCAATAAATATACAATAAAATCTTCCCCCTTTTTGAGATCACCCTGCAAGCAGAATATCTGGTCAACAGTTGAATAATTTGGCCTAAAACTGGCTTGCATGGATAACATGTTATTTCTATCACCCCACAGCTCCAGTCTTTTCTTGAATACAACACAGAGTATTTTACAAATTGAGTCAATATGGGATATTCCTCTCTAATTATTAGGCTCTTGGATATTTCCTGCCTTTGTGCAGTGGACAAATACTACTGTTTGCTCACTGGGGAGAGAATGTATTTGATTTCAACGCTTATAAACAAGAATATATTTCTTCCTCTGTAAATGGTCTGTTTAGATCATTTACGTTGTTAAAATGTTCTGTCGGATGGAGACAGATTAATGTCAATCATAGCTGAGAAATCAAATACAGTGTCACTGACAGACATGGTTACACCACAGTTCAACTGATATTTTCATGGTGATTGTACGACTGCTTCTCCCTCTTTGAAGGATTTTCCAAAAACACCTGGGATCCTTTCTTGGATTTATGAACACAGTCCATCCAAAATATCACAAACACAACATGTACACCATTATATTAACCCTCATGGTGCCCGGCCGTCCGCTGGCTTGGCATATACTGCTCAGTGCCGCACTGTGATGACGTCGCGGTTTCAAAAACGTTTACAATGTATCAAAAGTGTTACAACGTCTTTATTTCTTCACACAGTTTAACCAAATTGTAAACATGAAACTCGAGTTGATTGTCTTTCCATCAGTATCTAAAGTCACCAAATCCAAAAGATCTATGCACTGCCTAGCCATCGATAAAAGTGCTGGTATTATAAGTTTCCTATTTTTCTACATTAATCATAATGTGGACGCACCCGAATATGGCAAGCAAAGTCAAGTAAGCGCCCTTGTTTGAAATCTAAATGTCCAATAATTCATATCATTGGCAAGTACATGTCCTAACAGTGATAGACATATGACATTTATGTTGAAGTACACATTCACTGAGAATTTTCCGTGAGTTATATTTAGCGATAAAAAATCCCGATGAAATTGTGCGTGTTTTTGACGTCAAAACAAACTTGAGAGAGAGGGGCAAGAGAGAGAGAGTCCAACCCAAATATCACAAACACAACATGTACACCATTATTTACTTAACTTTAACGACCATCATGTTATATATTTACTTAGTTCCTGGTTTGGGGAGAGTCATTTATGAAGAAAAGGGAGGGGTATGGCCACTCCAGACCCAGACGAAGTATGGATGGTGTCCCACCTAATATGGTAACAGCTATAGCTAATAAAGATAATGTTCATTACTTCAGATTATATTATCTGCTCATTGCTTGTGCTTGAAAAAAAGACAAGACATTGACAATGTACTTTGTACCCCATGCCAATCATCTAAATTGGAAGAGAAGCGAAAACGGTGCCGACTACCCTCATCCTATTTTGTACTTCCGTCACTGTCGTCTCGCCTCTGGGTCCAGCTTCAGACCAGTATGGCGGTGGTCACGTGACATTTTAGATAATTTATCAACGTAATATAAGTCCTTTACTTTCTGTAACACCTTAATACATGTATATTAGGAGTGAAATTTAGACAATTCTTCAATTCGCAATCTGGCCCCATACAATAACGCATTATGCAGTAAACGTCATCTTAACTTGACCCGTTTTCTGGCCGAATATCAACAGAAATTTGACCACATAAAGCGTCTTTGTCGGCTGTCTGAGGACCAAGGTCACCGAGTTCAAGTACAGAGAGTGTGACGTCATCATCGCCAGTTATGACGTCACAGCGGTTTCAAGTCGGCTGTGGGTAGTCCAGTGTCGAGTCACAGGACCATGTAACAATAAAAATATAAAATAAGTCGTAAAAACATCATACACGAGGCCTAACAATAAAAATATTAAAAAAGTCGCAAAAAAATCATACACGAGGCCTCGTGTATGATTTTTTTGCGACTTTTTAATATTTTTATTGTAACATGGTCCTGTGGTCGAGTAAAGCTGGGCCCCGTCTCTAACATCACGAATGAGCAATCGAGTCACATTTTGTCAATTCCTGTACATTTTCATGTTAAATCTGGCATGTTCAATTCCTTTCGGGAACCTCGAAAAATGTTTAGGTATGACTAGGAAAATTACATCTGACATTCTATGTGTGTTTGTAGCGCAGTCGGTAGCGAGACACTTTTTTAAAAAACAGAGATCGTGTGTTCGAACCCTTGCGTGTAACAATCCTTTTTTCATTATCTTTTGTAGATAATATACATGCATAGCTGAATGAATCTTTTACGGTGGAGTTAAATTTTATAAGACATCATTAGAGCACTGCACTTCCCCCATCGCCACCAGACCCGCCCACCCCGCTTGTTTGTCAGCCGCTTCTGCCTGTCTGTGAGACAATGTTTGTTTGTTTGGTTGGTTGGTTTCTTTGTTTAACGCCGCCCTCAGCGATATTCCAGCTATATGACAGGCTTGTAAATAACCGAGCCTGGACCAGACAATCCAGTGTTTGGAATACTGTGCATCGATGACGACATGCATCAACCAAGTCAGCGAGCCTGACCACCCGATCCCGTTAGTCGCCTTTCACAGCAAGCATGGGTTGCTGAAGGCCTATTCTAACTGACGGGTCAGTGAGACAATGAATACACCTGTATTGAGCAATAGCATCGACCCAACCCAACGCAAAGCAAGCAAGCAAACAAGCAACTCAATCATATACATGTCTATTATGCGTGCAGTAAAGGAAGTCAAACCAGTGGTCGACAGCATGAGCAAAAGTCTATACCACCAGGATACACAGCACAGCACAGCACAGCATAGCACAGCACACAATCCCCGACGTCACATATCTTAACCTGATTGTAAGATTAGTGGTGTTGCGACCAGCATATAGGATTCTGGGTGGTTTTCTGGCCCTGAATCCCAACGAAAATCTGTAGCTGAAGTTTTGTAATTTAGTAGCTATATAGCCTCTCATTACGTGAACAGTACACCATAGGGTCTGTATTGTCTCAGAGGGCCTTTAGAAAAGAACAATTGCTATGGTAGTGGGTTATCTGTGATATTCATTTTTTACAAGTATATATTGCAGTAATTAAATATGTTAACACCGCGGGGGTTAAAACATGAGTGAGAACTATCGCTCAGACGTAGGATAATGCTTGATATGCACATATGGTATATATCGACGTCCATTAACAACAGGGCGGCGTGGCTGGTATAGACAGAAAGCCAGTCTCTCATGCAGCCTTCATGGCATATATGCCACTTGGCCTTTCCACCTCCACGGCAATTCCCTATACAATGACACAGTGCACTGTGTCTGTTTGCTTCTGTTCTGCTGTATCGCGACTGTCTGACAATCGACTCTGTACCAGACAAACCAGTGATGGATATAAGGAGCAACGTCCCGCGACGTGGGTACAGGCCTAGCTTGACATTACCGTGTGTCACACCCACTAGGTCCCCCTCGTCACACGGCCGGGGAGGAGGGTACAGGCCTAGTTTGGAATTACCGTGTGTCACACCCACTAGGTTCCCCTCCCCCTCGTCACACGGCCGGGGAGGAGGGTACAGGCCTAGCTCGGCATTACCGTGTGTCGCACCCACTAGGTCCCCCTCGTCACACGGCCGGGGAGGAGGTTACAGGCCTAGCTCGGCATTACCGTGTGTCACACACACTAGGCCCCCTCGTCACACGGCCGGGGAGGAGGGTACAGGCCTAGCTCGGCATTGCCGTGTGTCTCGCCCACTAGGTTCCCCTCCCCCTCGTCACACGGCCGGGGAGGAGGGTACAGGCCTAGCTTGGCATTACCGTGTGTCACACCAGCTAGGTCCCCCTCGTCACACGGCCGGGGAGGAGGGTACAGGTCTAGCTCGGCATTACCGTGTGTCATACCCACTAGGACCCCCTCGTCACACGGCCGGGGAGGAGGGTACAGGTCTAGCTCGGCATAACCGTGTGTCACACCCACTAGGTCCCCCTCGTCACACGGCCGGGGAGGAGGGTACAGGCCTAGCTCGACATTACCGTGTGTCACACCCACTAGGTCCCCCTCGTCACACGGCCGGGGAGGAGGGTACAGGCCTAGCTCGGCATTACCGTGTGTCACACCCACTAGGACCCCCTCGTCACACGGCCGGGGAGGAGGGTACAGGCCTAGCTCGGCATTACCGTGTGTCACACCCACTAGGCCCCCCTCGTCACACGGCCGGGGAGGAGGGTACAGGCCTAGCTCGGCATTACCGTGTGTCACACCCACTAGGTCCCCCTCGTCACACGGCCGGGGAGGAGGGTACAGGCCTAGCTCGACATTACCGTGTGTCGCACCCACTAGGACCCCCTCGTCACACGAACGGGAAGGAGGGTCACATTCATTGAGCCCACGAGATAATTCCCCCTTGGATTTATTAAATTGCATATATTTCTTAATGCTTTTTATCCCCCGCCCCAACGAAGTTGGCGGGGGATATAGAAATGGGTTCCGTCCGTATGTGTGTGTGTGTGCGTGTGTGCGTGTGAGCGTGTGTGCGTGTGTGCGTCCCGAAATCGTTTCCGGAGCATAACTCAGAAATCATTTAATATTTCTCTACGAAACTTTGCATGTCTATCAGACTCATGCTGAACTGGTGCCTTTTGCTATTTAGGAATTTTATAAATTTTTATTTTTTACGTTTCCATGGCAACAAATTGGACTTAGGTTCTATAAGTGTGCTGTTCGTTTCCGGAGGGTAACTCAAAAACCATTAAATACTTTCTTACAAAACTTTGCATGTCTACCAGGCACATACTGAACTGGTGCCTTTTGCTATTTAGGAATTTTATAAATTTGTATTTTTTACGTTTCCATTGCAACAAGTTGGACTTAGGTTCTATTGGGTAGTGTTTGTTTCTGGAGCATAACTCAAAACCCATTCAATACTTTCTAACAAAACTATGCATGTTTACCAGACACATACTGAACTGCCTTTTGCTATTTAGGAATTTAAGAAATTTTTATTTTTTACGTTTCCATTGCAACAAGTGCTGAGGCCATTTACAAAAAGGCCCAGTGAACATAGTTCACAGGAGCTAATGCATTGCACACAACCGGACATGTCATATTGGCGGGGGATATGAGTATTTCATGCTTGTTTTTCTAATTTTTCACAAATTATCCTTAACATTGGAAATCCTTATATTTACAAGTTAGTAGGCACGGGATAGCTCATTTTTCAGGACATTAGTCGAACACAGCAGGGTTCCCTCAGCAAGCTCATTTACGTGAACCTAAAAATTACGAATCACAAATGAGCATGGTACACCCATGTGAGCACGGCCCTTCTCCTGGCCAGGCGTCGATATGTATTCTCACTCCAGCAGGCGCATGATTGACGACCTTCCAACTATAATCAAAATCAACTTTTGTTCGGCAGTATCGAGATTCCCATCTTTCCATTCTTTTCTTCTGTCGTTAATAATTGTCAAGAGTTAAAACCTATTCCCTTGGCAGCAGACATATGTTTAGCCTAGGGCTAAACAGTAATTAATATCATCTCTCATGAGGACAGGATGACACTGGTTGCTTTCCTCATGACGTGCGTTGTAAATTGTTATCCGCATTGGCCAGACCATTGTGTCAAACCCACAACATGATTATACCATTGTTACTGATATACCATATACTGTCTCAGACCATCTGCCTATCCTTCTGTGTATAACAAATAACTGTCCTAAAAAACATGTGGTGGATATAAGCTCAATTGGAAGAAAGCGTGTGATACTGATCTCATGTTGTATCGTTATGAAACTGAAAATTACTTTCGTAAAGACATATGCAATTTGTCCCAATTCGCATCCCATAATGAATATATTATAGAAACTTTGGTTGCAGTTGCAGTATACATACAGTTATAAACGGCGCAAAATAACCTTATACGCCAAATACATTACCGTAGTCATAGTCTTCTTATATATTTCGCGACAATGTACATTCAAACGCGTATCGTTGAAGTACATAATTACCGTAGTCACTCCATTATCTGTTATCATGTTGGTTGGTTGTTTAACGCCGTACTCAGCATACTACTGACCCCACATGAGCCGGTATACCGTCAGTAAAAATCCAAGATGGTTGTCACTGACCTAATATGAGACCGTATACCGTCAGTAACAGCCATTTTGGATTTTCATACACCCACCTCACATATTTCACATGAAAATTCTGGTACAGAAATTCGTTATTCGACACTGTTTTGAGTTTTAATATCATTATTTTTGATGTGCAAGGACGTTAATGGGTTTTTTTTGGATCACGTTCGTGTCTTTAATAAAGAATATTTAAAGTTAAAATTATCAACAAGGTTTGAAGAGTAGTCTCCCTTTTGACTCCTAACGTCTTAGGTTGTAAGTGGTAATTTTTGAGTTTTAAGTTTTGACATGACATGCGTGACAAAGATATCAAATAATGTAAACTTTTCCGCATAATAAATTCGGCAAATATTTTTCTGCTAACCTAATATGACACCGTATACGGCCACCAAAGACACCATAACTAATATTCCAGCTATATGACGGCGGTCTGTAAATAATCGAGTCTGGACCAGACAATCCAGTGATTAATAATATCATGAGCATCGATCCACACAATTGGGACCGATGACATGCATCAATCAAATCAGCGAGCCTGACCACCCGATCCAGTTACTCGCCCCTTACGCCAAGCATAGTCGCCTTTTACGACAGGCATGGGTTGCAGAAGACCTATTGTACCCCGGATCTTCACGGGTCTGTTATCATGTAGTTCGTTAGCTATAGGAAATGCGCCTGGTCAATATAACATCGCCTGAGTGAAACATTACCGTAGTCACCAAAATGATCGCTACTGAAAACTTACTATTCTCTCATTTAAAACTAATATCTATCTCCTGTCGCGTACCTTCGTATCTTTATTCGGATCAATGACCGTGTTATTTTACTTACCGTTTATGCCGAAATTATCACGTCCCCTTCGTGATAGATTACCGTAGTCATCAAATAGGATCCCTAATGAAACTAAATATCCTCTCTAAAACTGAGCTATATCTTCTACCCTGTACCTTATTATCTTTACTAAAACTTCGCATATGAATGTTTACCGCTTGTACCAAAGTATCTCAATTGTCTAGCACTATGAAACTGGCAGTAGTCCGGACTAAAGCAAGCAGCCACACACACACAAACACATCGCTTATAATGGTGATAATCTTGAATATGACATTAAACCCCATTTCACCTCACCTCACCTCACCTCACCTCACCTCACCTCAAATGATTTACAGAGGACAGTGTGTACTCTTCAAAGCTCTCTAAAACTGCAATACAATAATGATATTTACACCTTATCCACAACTAGATTAGAATGAAAGTAATTTTTTTGGCTTTTTATTTAACACAGCCATAATAATCCAGCTATATATAATCAAGACCAGACAATCTAGTATTTGATATTATGAGCATGAATCCATGCGACTTAGATATGATGACATCAAATCAGCCAAGTCATCGAGTCCCCCCTCCCCCTTACACACCCACACCCACCCCACATACACACACCCAACACACCACCCCAATCCAAGAGTTTCAGCAAGTACCACAAATGACTATAAACATTAATGTTTTCAACTTGTTAGTTATTGCCAGGACATTTCTACTACTGCCACTTACTTGGCCGGAGTCGTGGTCCAGAGGCAAGAGTGATAGTTTTACTAGTTAGTTCTCGTTCACCAGTGGAAGGTTATTCAGCGTTGAGTAGCTTGGAGTGTAACGAATCTAAAGAATCTTATGCTGTGGTGTTTCTGGGTTAAACTTGGTCCCCAGTAACCCATGTGTATTGTTGGGGGTGACTTAATGGATGGGATAGTGTGGCTCTGTGTTGATAGCGTGTCATCGTACCCCAACATCCTGAATCACAAAATATCGATCACTGGATTGCCTGGTCCAGACATGTCCAATTGCAGGCTGTTAAACAACAAAACATCAAATAAAACTCTATATTCCATTAACCATTTTTTTATTTCACCCAACAGAAGAAATGATGTGTAGCATAGAATTCCTACTTAGCCACGCCCTTAATCCTTGTATACAATATTTAATGTACATTTTTTTTCTCATATTGACATTGTTTTAACAAACAAAACAAAAAACAAAATAGTAAATGATAGTAAATGTGTTGTATATTTCTTAAAGAGACTTTAATCTATTGTCTGTTAAGCTAGTTTATCCTTAACATGAAATTTGAGATGCATAACAGACCTGATATTTCATGCATCATGTTTATCACCGGAAAAACACTGCAATGGTTTAGCTGCCAAATGGTAGGTGACTTACCATTTGGCAGCTACCACTGCAGTGTTTTTCCAAGTTACAAAATCAGGTGGAACAATTATTTCAGACTTGATTCACATCAGTCATGTTTACAGTTGCCATGTTTCCTAATCACGTCACATTACGTCAAGGTCAACTTGGGAGAGGGCTTTTCAGAGTTAGAGCTTTTCTTACTCTAAAATATTTTTACTGCATGTATTTTATTTACTACGGTATTATTAGTATTTATTAATACTTGGACTGCTTTGCAAGTACACTGAACAAAAAAAGAAACGTCGGACTTTATTTTAATGAAAATAATATTTTATTGTCACCATGATGTAAAACTGTTATAATATTCCAAAACATGCACTGCCTCGTGAGTTGATGTCAGCAGAAATCTGTCACAGAAACACCCGTAGAATGATGTGGCTGACGTTACTGTGGAAGTGCTATCACAACTGAAAGTTGAATTATCAAGACCAGGTGTGGCCAGCGTCTGCATCAATCAAAGCTCTGCATCGGCGTCTCATGACGTCACTATTCTCTGGATTTCATGTCGCGTTTCATGTTGATGCTGATTCTGACGTCGTCTTACACGTCTGTCCAAAGAGTCCCACACATGTTCAATTGGATTGATTTCCGGACTTTTGGCTGGTCAGGGCATAAATCCACGTGGTTAGCCCGCAGAAAGTTGCATGTGATGCGTGTAGTGTGACTTGTTAAAACGTCATGTTGGCGTTGGCTTTGAGGTGAGGGACGTGCTGAGTAAGAATCTCATCCGGGTAATTCAAAGCCACGCGCCGATGCCCGAGAAACATTTCCCCCTTTTGACATCAAACATGAACATTGAAAATAACAGACGTCATTGTTATAAAAGTTGTTTGTTACCACAAATGGAATAAATACCGTCTCTGCTATAGAAGTTAGACATACAGTCAAGCGCTATCAAACGTCTTACAAATCTGCATACACATAGCTGTTCTTTCTGTTAAAAGATTAAGCTGGGATTGGTGACATGTTAGTATATGACTGGTATGAGCTTATTTCGCATCAATCTGCGCACATGCAACCGATTTCCATGAATAGGAACAAGAG